CGCCAGCGCCTCCCGCGGTAGGGCCCCTAGCTCCAGCAGCGCGACCCTGACGAGCAGCGTACCACTCACGCAGCTAGTGTGGGGAGAGAGGGGGTCGACGACTAGGGTGCAGCGGCGAAGCACCAGCGGAGCGACTGCGGAGACGGCCGCTCCAGGGGGACCGCTCACCAGACCCCACAGTGCCCCCAGGCGCAGCTCTCCCAGACTCAGAACCTCCAGGCTCAGCACCTCCAGACTCTGCACACCCAGGCTCCGCACCCCGAGGCTCCGCACCCCCAGGCTCCGCACCCCCAGGCTCCGCACCCCCAGGCTCAGCGTCCCCAGGCTCAGCATCCCCAGAAGCAGCACCCCAAGCAGGACCTGAGTCACCAGTGACCTCAACCGGCGGAGGCAAAGGAGGAGGGTCTACCTGAGACACACCTGAAGGAGCAGGACCGGGAGCGGGGAGGGGGTCTACCTGGGTAGCACCTGGAGCGAGGAAGAGCGGCGGGGGGGGGAGCGGGGCAGTGCGGTAGGGGAAGAGACGGTAAAAGGGAACCGACTCGTCGAACGTGACGTCCTGAGACGCAAAGACACGGCGCGAGGTGGGGTGGTAAAACTGCCAACCAGGCGCGTCAGGGACAAAGCCAAGGAAGACACAGGGGACAGCTCGACGGGAGAGCTTGTCCGCGGTGGTATCGCGGACAAAGGCACGAGAACCCCAGACCCGGAAACGCGACGCATCGCCAACCTTCCCCGTCCACAGCAGTGTGGGCGAGGTCTCCGGCAAGGAGACACGGGGCCAGAGGTTGAGCTGATGCGCGGCGTACCGGACCGCAAACGGCCACAGAAAATGGGGGGCAGCCGCATGGACCATGGAGGTACGAGCGACCTCCATGACCAAGCCAATGCGGCGCTCAGCAACCCCATTCTGCTGCGGAGAGGCCGGAAGCGTGAACGACTGGGTGATGCCGTGCTCCGCACAGTAGGCTGCCAAGAGGTCGGAGGAAAACTCACCACCTCTGTCAGAGTGCAGACGCAGGACGGGAAACTCTGTCCCGAACCGCCGGCGGAGCTGGAGACGAGCAGCGCGGATCCAGGGGATCAAAACAGCAGGGACCTCACCCTTGGTGCGCAAGGGGAAGACCGTGGTGTAACGCGTGTAGTCGTCGACGACCAGCAGGAAGTACCGCTCGTGGTCCTGTCCACGGACGCGGGCTGGGCCCCACAAGTCCATGTGGAGAGTCTGCAGGGGAGCCTCTGTGGGAGGGAACGAGGAGGAGTGAGGAGCGGCGCGCTGCCGCCCCTCGACACAGGGAAGACAGGGAGGAGCAGGCGAGGGTGGGAGGGGAGGGAGAACCCTGGGAAGACCAGAGACAAGGACACGACGGTGCATGCTGCGAAGGCGCTGCACCGAGGGGTGACCAAGGCGGTGGTGCCAAAGGAGGGTCTCGTGCGACAAGGCGCGACACAAGCAGGGGGCCGACAGCTGACCTGACGCAGACGCAGACGCAGCTACCTGAGGGGACTCAGTGGTCAGGGTGTACAGGCTCGAGCCAGGCTCACGGGTGAAAGTGGCCAGGTGTCGGCCCGTCCGAGCACACGTACAGTGAGTCACCCGCTGACGCGCAGGAGTGAACTGGTCAACCCCCCCATCCTGGAGGTCAGCTCCACTCACCAGGTTCGTAGAGAACGAGGGGAGGTAGAGACCTGACAGCAAGCCAGACGGGGCGGCCGGACACGGCAGAACCGTGGAGTAGTGGGCAAGGACTCGACCCCAGAGGGGTCTGCCAGGGAGACTGCAACCGGCCGACGAAGCGGCGTAAGTGTGGTGCAGTCGCGAAAGAAGGAGCGGGAAGCTCCTGAGTCAAGGGTGAAGGTGTGCAGGGTCGCAGCAGGCGAAGAACCAGAGAGGGCAGACTCACCAGGACCTGGAGCAGCAGCCTCACCAGCACCTAGAGCAGGAGACGCAGTAGCACCTAGAGCAGCAGCCTCACCAGCACCTAGAGCAGGAGACGCAGTAGCACCTAGAGCAGCAGCCTCACCAGTACCTAGAGCAGCAGGCGCTATACCTGGGTCAGGCGACACACACAGGTAACAGGCACGGTCAGCACTAGTAGGCAATGCATACATGGCAGTGAGAATAGCATCATAGTCAAGAGCAAATATATCTACTCTCTGCCTAAGTAGCTCCACCCAGTCGGGGAGCTCAGCCTCGTCGCCAAACTCGGTACGCCAGGCGTCGCTCAGACGGGCGAAGCAGCGGGACTGCGTGTGACTAGGTGTCCCGCAAGGCTGACCAGTCCGAGCACCAGTGCGAATGACGTAAGAGCAGCGAACAGAACTGAGAGACCCTCTACTCTGAGCGTACCACTCACGAAGCTGCTGGGGCGTGCGAGACTCGCGTGGACGACAGTGTAGCTGCATCTGGCCACCGCCAGTAGCAGCAGCAGCAGTAGTGGCAGCAGTAGCAGCGCGGCCACCCCTACAACCCCAACTAGCGTACCACTCACGCAGCTGCTGGGGCGTGAGGGACTCACGCGGACGTCGCTGGGGCTGCATCTGGCGTCGGCCAGTAGCAGCAGGTCAGGCAGGCGGTGCGGCAGCGCGCTAGCAAGGCAGGGGCTCACCAGTGGCAGGAAGAGCAGGGCCGTGGCGGCGGTAGGGTGGCGCGAGCCGCTGCCGGGGACGGTGCACTGGCGGGTAGGGCGCGGCGCGGGCCGCGCGGACGGCGCGCAGCGCGCTGCGGGCCGCGGACGCGCCGCGCGGGCTTGGGGCGAGCTACGCGGGGCAGCGGCGGGCCGCGCGCGCGTCGCGCGGGCTCGGGACGGGCTGCGCGGGGCAGCTGCGGGCCGCGCGCGCGTCGAGCGGGCTCGGGACGGGCTGCGCGGCAGGCAGCGCGAGGGCAGCGCGGCAGGCAATGCGACGGGCAGCGCGACGGGCGGGCAGCGCGGCGTGCAGCGCGACGGGCGGGCAGCGCGGCGAGCGGGCAGCGCAGCGGGCGGGCAGCGCGACGTGCAGCGCGACGGGCGGGCAGCGCGGCGAGCGGGCAGCGCAGCGGGCGGGCAGCGCGGGCGCACGAGGGCGCTAACGAGGGGCGCACGAGGGCGCTAACTGGGGCGCGTGAAGGCGCTAACGAGGGGCGCGCGAGGGCGCAGCGAGGGCGCGCGAGGGCGCTAACGAGGGCGCGCGAGGGCGCTAACGAGGGCGCACGAGGGCGCAGCTAGGGCGCAACGAGGGCGCATCGAGGGTAGGGCGCGGGGTAGCGTGGTAACCGCATGCGTGCGACGGTGGGCCCTAAAAAAAAGATCGATAGGTCCTAGGGACCTCCTGCTCTGAAACCATGTTAGAATCACAGGCAGGAATGGATGAACTAACAGCATGCAGGAGTACAAGTAGTAAACCCTAATTGGGTTGTACCCTATATGGGCTACCCCACTACAGCCTAGACAATATGCAGCATATATGTTTGACATAACCATTATGGTCGTAACTTGTAGACTCGGTACTGTAGTGATAAAATCCGTTTGCATTTGTTTTATTGTTTTTCATTTTGTGCATTGAGCTTTTGTGTGTGTGATTGTGTGTGACTGAGAGAGTGCTTGTGTGTTAAGGTGTGCGAATGTGCGTGTGCATGCTTTGGGTATGTATATGCATCTATATTCATTGCAACAACAATGCATGTCTGTGAGGTTTAAAAATTGGGATCAAACTATCATTTCCGAGAAGGTTCATTGCTCACTCAGTGAGTGTGTTCAGTTGAACTGGATTTGATGGAATTGACCTTTTTTTTAAATGACACAGATTGTGTTGTTTCATGTGACAGTTGGATGATTCACCTGTTAGGCTATTGACTTCCCCCCCCATGCTAGGCAGGGGATGCGGTAGCCTAGTATGTGGGTAAATTAACTATCACGCATTTCTATCATTTTACGCATTCACAAGATTGGTATAGTACATATAAGCATATAATATGCATACAGATATAACATATACATCAATTTCATTTAATGTTTGGCTCAATATAACCATTATGCATGCATTCCAATTTCATTTATGCATGACAGAATACTACTGTATATGCATTACAGAGTAAACAGCCACAATTTAAACTAACATCATTTTAGCACTACATTCATCCATATCAAGAGCAAGGCCAAACAAAGAAATTTAAACAAATACAACCATATTAAGCGGCAAACTTTTTGGGTCATCTTTAAAATATATAAACATATGTATAGAGGATGAAAAAAAAATCGTACCATAACGATTGCAATAGGTTGCTTCGCAACCCAAAAAAACGGTCCTACGGACCTAATGCTCTGATACCATTTCAGAAACTAGCAGGAAGGATGGAGTGCACTAGGTAGGAATGAGGTACGGTACAAATATGGCTAACCCTAATTGGGTTGTACTCCTTATGGGCTACCCCACTGTAGCCTACACAACATATTTTGACAGGGACCTAGGAGGTTCACAGGGAGAAGGGCTTGAATGGGGCTGGAACAAGAGCGGAGGACTTGAGAAGGTGGGTGGGTGGGGGGGGGGGATTTGCACTAGTGAAGAGGGGCGATGGATTCGGGAAGGAGAGGTGTGGGGAAATGAGGGGGGAGGGGAGGGTGGCGGGCGGTGTCAGACGGAAAAAACCCGTTATCTGAAAATTCAGACCTGAAAAGTCAGATGACCTAAAAATACTACGGTAGTCTTGTGGATCAGACAAAAATAAAATCAATGTCTCAAAAATCAGATGAAAGCTAAAAAGTGGGTCTGAAAATCAGACCATCAGACCAATTTGGTCTGATAACGAGAGCCCTGAATAGCTAGTAGTTGCTGTGGAATCGTGTAGAGTAGTTCAGTGTTGTAAAATGCTAGCATTGGCCATGAATATATTGCAATTGACATTGGGGTACGAATGTATGTAGCGGCCTTGAACAGACTAGTAAGAGACGGCTACGGGGAGTGAATGACGTGATGTCCATTCTTATTACGCACACGCAGAGGCGGGGCGCCTCCCAGTGGTTTCACATGAGAGAGCAGTCGGCAGGGAGGTCCCCTCCTTGCAGCATGTCTGGCAGCCTGCCACACACCACACCACACCACACCCACCATCAGCACGAGGGAGGGCCTTTGTCATCCACATCCGATGAACAGTGGGAAGCAATGCGATGTGCTTATAACAGATAAGCTGGTTATGCTCTTGTGACAGAGCAGCCAATATGAGGGAAGACCTTCATACCAGAGTGTGCTGTGATCCGAACCACGAGGGAGTAATCGACCCCCGAGATAACAGCACCACGACGCAGTTAGCAGAAGCAAAGCGGCCGTGATGGAGAGAGGGAACGTGAAAGAGGCAGGCGGAAGCGACGAGAGAATAATGATTGCAAGAGAGAGGAGGCAGTGGAAGGAACAGCGAGTGAGAGAAACGAAGGTAGCAGCACACGCACACAGGCAGGCCGTCCTCCCCCATCTCCAGCCCAGGGGCGATCTCCTTGATCATGTCGGGGGGTGGCTGCCCGCACGCCTGCATCTCGCCCATCACTGCCATGATGGCCTCAAAGTCGCCCGGCCGCTCCTCGTACAGCGCGCACAGCCGCCCGATGGCCTGCTGCTGCCGCTCGTACCGCGCCAGGTCATCGGGCGGCAGGGTGGCGGCGTTGGCGGCGAGCCAGGCGGGGTAGCGCGCGTGGAGGTCCCTCATTGGTCCGTGCAGCACGTCCTTTGAGAGCAGCTGCTGCATGACCGCGTCCATGAGCCCCGCCATGTCCTGGAGAGAGGGTGGCACGCAAGGCAGGGAGGGTGCAGTGCAGGCGGATGGGAGGAGGGGCCGTATGCATGCGGTGGTTGATGAGCCCTGTGTGCAGCGCTGCTGCATCACCGCGCCCATGAGGCCCTGCATGTCCTGGTGAGGCGGACGATGGGGGGAGGGGAGGGGGAGGAGGGGGGGTAGAGAAATGGGGGGAGGATGGGGGGAGGGGAGGGGGAGGAGGGGGGGTGGAGAAATGGGGGGGAGGATGGGGGAAGGGGAGAAGGGGGGTATACAAATGGGGGAGAGGAAAGGCAAGGAACGGGGAAAGGGGTGATGAGCGCAACCATGAAGCCCTGCATACCCTGTGTGGGAGCAGGACGCTGGGGAAGGAAGGGCGGGGAGAAGGGAGGGAAGGGTGCAGGCAAAAGGGCATGAGGAGGTGCGAGCCATGCGTCACCTGCGAGCCCATGTCTCACCTGCGAGCCCATGTCTCACCTGCGAGCCCATGTCTCACCTGCGAGCCCATGTCTCACCTGCGTGCCCATGTCTCACCTGCGTGCCCATGTCTTCAAACTGCTTCACCAGTCGCTCCACCACCGCCTCATCCAACTCCTCCCCTTCCCCTCCCAACCCCTCCAAACCCCCCAGCCCGCCAAGCCCTGGCAAGCCCGAACCTAGCCCCGCAGGCACCCCTCCAGGTGCCCCTGCCCTCCGCCTTGCCGCATCTTCCCCCTCCCCGATGCCACTGACGGTGCGCTGTGTCTGCTGCTGCAGCTGCTCCAACGTCCATGATATCCCCCCACCGCCGCCACCGCTGCTTCCCCCACCCCCACTCGCACTCGCACTCCCGCCACCACCACCACCACCACCACCACCACTGGTACTTGTCTTGCCACCACCGCCGCCAGCAGCAGCGGCCTTGGCCGTGGCCGTGCGTGTGGGGGCGTTTCGCTTCTTCCTCACTGGCAGTGACGGCAGACCCCCTCCCAGCCCCAGCCCCACCGGTGCTGCTGGAGCTGCAAGGGGCTGTGCTGCTGCGCCTGTGCCTGGCGCTGCGGGCCCCGACCCCACATGTGCCTCCTCGCGCCCGACTCCTGTTGCTGCGGGTGCGGCGGGGCCGAGTGGCACGGCAGGCGACGCCGCAGCAGGCAGTGGGGGCGTGGGCGTGTGGGAAGCGGGGCCAGCGGCGCTGCTGCTGCTGCTGCTGCTGCTGGCGGCGGGCGCAGGTATGGGTGGGTCTTGGCGGAAGTCCTCCAGTGCACCTGATGCCCCGCCATGCGCGCACGGGCGCGTGATAGGCGGGGGGAGGGGAGGAGGAGGGAAGGAGGAGGGGAGGGGGGGAGGGGGGAAGTGGGGAAGGGAGGGGGGAAAGGGGGGAGGAGGGGAGCGGGGAAGTGGGGATGGGAGGGAGGGAGGGAGGAAGCGATTGAGAGAGGGAGGGAGAGAGGGAGGGAGGGAGGGAGGGAGGGAGGGAGGGAGGGAGGGAGGGAGGGAGGGGGAGGAACGCACGCGAGTGAGGAATGGAGGAGGAACGGCGCAGGTAGGCACGAGGTGGGGAGGGTAGGAGGAAGGGGGTCGGAAGTGGAGAGAAATGTCGAAGCGGCGCCGATGGCGGGGGGCCGAGAAGGAATCGTGGACGCTCTTTGCGGCGCGTCAAACGAGGGCCTTCACGACACGACACGTTCCTCCGTGCGCTCGCGCGCATGCTGCCCAAACGAGCCCGAACGAGCGTTGCATGCATCAATGGATCCATGCGGACTGCACGTTTTGAGAACACTCGGGGCAGACGGCTACTGCTGATGGTAACGGACCAGCATGTTGTCGCGGCTGACAACCGAGTCCAGCATATTACCGAGACGGCTAATAACGCGTCGAACGTACTATCGAGAAGATCGTCCAAGTCGTCCACCGACGAATCCATGCGCCTCCGTCGACTCGACTGGCGGCGACCGGCAGAAGCAGCGCAAACCAAACGGCAGTAACGGCGTCAGCTTCAAGTCGGCGCGAAGGACCAACGCGCGGAGGTCGTGCGAGCGCAAAGCGAGAACAGGAACTCGACTGGTTTCGCCTAGGGTTTCTATAGGCAAGGTACCTCCGTCTCCACTCAAGCTTAATCCACTCCTCGTGTTTGGCGATGGATCGGGAAAAATCACCATCTGGGACGGTAATTGTGGTGTTGTGACAAGCGTTGCTCGAGGGCGGATTGGAGGAATGGGACTCGAATCGTACCACTGTTCGCAAGCGTAATGCGGGCGACATTTCGATGTTGCTGCGAAGTGCGTGGGAATGACGCGAGAGCACCTCTGACACATCGTTGAATCAGGTAACCATTCCATGCCTCCCAAACCACTTCGCCCAATGGCGAATTTTGTTTGTCGCACGAGACGTTCCACTTCAACCTCAAACCCCATCACCACGAGTCTGTTTTGGTTTCACGCATTCACGCACAGAAGCAGCAGCAGCTTGGAGGAGTATATTGCGCTGTTGTTCCGACGACCGAGAAGAATTTTCCCGATTGATTCATTCACGAATTTAACGACGGCGCCGACAGTCGGATCTTGTGTTGGCGGTGAGCGAGGCGAGGCGAGTGTGTTGGTGCAACTCCCAGTGACTCCCTCCTCCTCCCCGTCCTCCAACAATCAACACGCGCCGCCTCAATTTGTCAACAAGTCTGCGAGGCAGGTTCTTCGTAAGGTGCCCAATTCGTCGTCAAACATCAACTGACCTTGACAGCGTCACAGGGACGGTCGTTTCACGGAATGATTGAAATGACCTTCCCTGTCACTGCCGTGGCGAGGACGAGACTGGAGAGTGAGAGGACCGCAGCACCTCGAGGCACCGCATGTTCTCACATACCTACGACCGGCATGGCAACGAGCAGCCGCGGTGCTGAGATGAAGGAGGGCGGGGCGACCCCGTGGGACGAGGGGCGAGAGAGAGAGGCGGCAGCAGCAGCAGCAGGAGCGGCAAGAGCGGCGGGAGAGGCAGGATGGGAGGGAGCGGAGCGGGTGGAGTGGGAGGTGGAGCTGTGCCTCGACGTGGGGTCGCCCTACAGCCTCGTCGCACTCGAAATCCTCCTCCGGTACTCTCCCTTCCTCCCCATCTCCCTTCCTCTCCTTCTCCCTTCCTCTCCTTCTCCCTTCCTCCCCATCTCCCTTCCTCCCCATCTCCCTTCCTCTCCTTCTCCCTTCCTCCCCATCTCCCTTCCTCTCCATCTCCCTTCCTCTCGTTCCCTCTCGTTCCCTCTCGTTCCCTCTCGTTCCCTCTCGTTCCCTCTCGTACCCTCTCGTTCCCTCTCGTTCCCTCTCGTTCCCTCTCGTTCCCTCTCGTTCCCTCTCGTTCCCTCTCGTTCCCTCTCGTTCCCTCTCGTTCCCTCTCGTTCCCTCTCGTTCCCTCTCGTTCCCTCTCCCTCCTTCTCCCTCCCTCCCTCTCCATCTCCCTTTGGGAGTTAACCCTTGGTCTGGCCTGAGGCTGTTTCGAATCGTTAACTGTGCGCTGGGCTGTCGAGTGGCTATCTGATGGGCTGTCGAGTGGCTATCTGATGGGCACTTTCCCTTCCTGGCCTCTCCCGTGCAAAGCTAGTTGCTTGTTGAAGCTTGCTGCCTTCTCCATGCGCCCATCAGCACAACAGCTCACTGAGCGAGCGAGTGAGAGCCAACAGGTTGCGCCATCTCCCCGCTGCACACGCCCCTGCCCCATGCATGCATGCATGCAGGTACCACCGCCATCTGTGGAGCCTGCAGTCGCTGCTGTGTCTGGTGCTGCTGGCCTTCCAGTCGACTCACAACAACTCATTCTTTGCGCTCGCTCCCCCCCGTCCTCGTCCCTTCCCCTCCCCTTGCAAGCAGGTACCGCCAGCTGTGGAACGTGCGAGTGCTGCTGCTGCGGCCCGTGCTGCTGGGAGCCATCCACCGCGCCACAGGCAACGCCATGCCCTCTGCCGTGCCCGCTCGAGGTCAGTCACACGCAGAGGCGAGTGACACGCAGAGCACGCCATTGACAGGCAGAGCACGCCATTGACACGCAGAGCACGCCATTGACAGGCAGAGCACGCCATTGACACGCAGAGCACGCCATTGACACGCAGAGCACGCCATTGACACGCAGAGCACGCCATTGACACGCAGAGCACGCCATTGTATGGTACCAGGGGCGCGCACCCCTTCCTACCTCCATCCCCCACTGTCATCCCCCTCTCCCATCCCTCTCTCCCCCCCACCAGGAGCGTGGCTACAGCACGACATAGCGCGCACAGCAGCCATGGCCCGGCTACCG